CAATTAAAGATTCCAATATTCAGTAAAACAACCTAATATATTACTTTCACAACGTAGGACGGTAGTAAATGCTTATCCTTCCAGAACACATATGTGTAACTCCGGTTTTTTGTAGGGTTCTTATTGCTTTATCTTCTCGTTGTTTTTTCTTTTTGTTTTGAAAGCGTATTTTTTTTTATGTTGAGTTAGACTTCCATTGTCTCTTACACATACCGTTCACGATTATTTAATATGTATGACATTTAGAAAGATCTACATCAAGATGAATGTGCATGAAATCCTGTTGAATACTTGTATTCAGCGTCATTATTGCTGTTATCAATAATATCGCCGGTTTTTTGTAAGGTTCTTATTGCTTTATCTTCAGTTATCTTTGTAGTGTTTTGTAGACTGTTGCTTATTTTCTCGTCGTTTTTTCTTTTTGTTTTGAAATCATAATTTTGTTTTTGTTGAGTTAGCCTTCCTTTGTCTCTTACACATACCGTTCACGATTATTTAATATGTATGACATTTAGAAAGAACTACAACAGAATGAATATGCATGAAATCCTTTTGAATACTTGTAATCAGCGTCATTATTGCTGTTATCAATAATATCAGTTGCTGCAAGGTTTACAACGATGACCTTAGGTTTGACAAATTACGTTAATTAGGATAACGCCATTTGCTGACTTCCATTCTGTATCTAACTACTTATATACAGAAGATTTCGTGTATTTGTATCTTAATAGCACTTGATTTTTTCAGGCTCCATGAACCTTTTTTTCATTGCGTTTTCAGATTTAAAAGAAAATGCAATTGTGGTTCAAAAACCAATTCAACAGCTAATTTGTTAACGTTTCTTTATATTTATTGATTTCAATTTTCCCATTGTGAACTTTGACCTTTAATCAAATCAAATCAAAGCGGAATTTGAATATGAGGTATACAGCTGATACGACATTCCAGGGTTTTGTTTATTTTTCAGCGGTGATGCCAATAACAACATAAATAAACTTAGCAATGTCTTTGTACTTTCCATGAGTAACATGAAGTTGATTCAAATACTGTTTACCTTCCGAGGAACCTGTGTTTACCCTTAAGTGGTGATTGTTGTTCCTTTTGTTTTATACATGTATATTACTTGTTGCTATATTTTGTTTCAGAGCGTCTGTGTTGTTTTGATCAATCCTTGTCAGTGCTTTCTATTGACAAAACTGTTCGTTTCATAATTTTCCTGTACAGTTCATCGGAAAGTATCAAGACCTTATACATAAATATTCAGTGTCTCCTTCACAAAATAAAACAAGATGGTCTTTGGATTGTAGGTGTTGAAACTGTGTATCTTTTTATTTACTTTACATTTTCCCTTTATTTTCATTTTTGTTCTATAATGTTCCTTTTGGTCCTTTTTTGACCATCGAGCTATCGTGTTTTTTGGCTTTTGACATTCCTGGTGCAGGTAGGTCCTGAGGTGCGATTTGCACCCATGAGGCTTCTACAGTGTTGTTTTAGTTTTGTATACACTTGTATCAATATTGTACTTAATTCGTATAGGCACATACAGAATGTGTCGGGGTTAAACTTGTCTGAAGGCGTCAACCTTACCCCCAAACCTAGAACAGTGGTGTAACAGTACAACATAAGAACAAACTATAAAAATCATAACTCATCAGATCGATAAAAAGCAGAAACACATGTAACAAAAGCACAGACCGGACGTAGCAGGGTATTTATATATCCCTAACAACTTAGTATAGATCTGAGAGTACTCACAGTTACTGACAGCTAGTTCAAAGCCAATTACAACTAATAAAAAAATCATGCATCTAAGACTAAAATATCAATCAGTACACATCCAACATCCAAATGATTTAGTGTAATGACGTCATTAACAGTCAGATAAAAACATCACCTTGTGCAATGCCAAGAAACAGGTACTGACAGATTGTAGAGCCAAATACCAATAACAAAAATTTCAAAGATCTAAGTATAGTGTTGAATTGGTGACCTTTTAGAATAAGTTTATTCGAAGGATCCATCAGTTTACCCGGATCGTATATAAATTTCCGGGCCCGGTACACAACATTTCAGGAAAAATTACGATGTGCCATCCCGATTGAAATAAGTTTTCTAAAGGTACAACCAAGCTTCCAAACCAAATCTTTGTATCAATGGAAAAATTTTGTAAAGATTTTAAGTAATGTGTGGTAACGAAATCCCTGACTTAATAATTTACCAGTAATACTTAGATTGCGTTCATTGAAATTCAAAACGTCACAACAGACACGGCATGGGAAAGAGTTATGATAGTTAAACACCATAAGATGGTGCCAAAGGAACATCGTCGTCCAAAAAAGGAAAATTAACAATAGGGAACACAAAATCGTCACTTTTGTCGTAAATTTGTGTATAGACTTTCCCGTATAAAACTGAAATATCTAAATCTAGGAAAGGACAGTTATTTCCGTTTTTATTTGATTTATTTATAGTAAGTTCCTTTGGGTAAATTTCGGCAGTATATTTAGAAAATTCTTGATTATTTAACGAAAAATATCATAAAGATAATGATAAGTGTCGTTTGATTAAATCAATTAAATGCAATTTAGACTGGTCTTTACTGAATTTGGTGATAAACTGTGATTCATAACAGTACAAGAACAATAAATTGAGAATGGAAACGGGGAAACTGCCAAAGAGACAACAACCCGACCAATGAGCAGAAAACAGTCCAAGGCCACCAATTGGTCTTCAACACAGCGAAAAAATCCTGAACCCGGAGGAGAGCTTCAGCTGGCCCCTAAACAGAAATGTGTACTAGTTCAGAAAAAATGGACGTCAAACTGTTTTCGAAACATATAAATGAACCGAAGTTAAAAAAAAATATACAAGACTTACAATTGCTAGAGGTTCCTGACTTGTGACAGGCGCAAACATGCGGCGGGGTTAAACATGTTTTGTGCGATCTCAACCCTCCCCCTATACCTCTAGCCAATGTAGCATAAACAAACATACAGTAATACGTACAGAAAAGCTCAGTTTAAAAGAAGTCCGAGTCCGATGTTAGAATAGGTAACAGAAGAAACAAAACAAAATGATAATGATAACATAAATTAAAAAAAGACTACTAGCAGCTACTGACATGCCAGCTCCAGACATCAATTAAACTGATTGAGAGAGTATGTCTTCATAATATGAAAATCAAGCACAATCCCTCCAGTTAGGCGTTAAGTATCATACCATCATAAAATAAACGAAAAGAACATAACCCGTATCATGCTAACACGTCTGCCATTAACGGGAATTGGTGCCCATAGGAATACCTACAACCTGTCGATAAAGTTCATTGCCGAAACGTACATAAATTTTATCAAGGAGAAAATGAAAAGCTTCAATCATCTCATCACACCTCCAATAAGAATATCTAGCATATTTACCTTTCTCATTAGAGGAAAAGTCTTTAAATGAGTTTCAAATATATTTGCAATCAAATTTACCAATCGACCATTTAATTAAATTGGAAAACGTTTGTGTGATAAGATTTTGTGGAAGTGTAGTGTAAAGAAATGAAAAGTCAAAACTGTGAACAGAATCAAAAGGACCATCGAAAGTACGTAATTTATCTACAACAACCAAAGAATTTTTTACACTCCAAAAATAGTTAATTCCACTATTTTCATATGTTTTATTACAAAAGTTAATAATAAGTTCTTTGATAGAAGTTAAGGAACTAGTTAAAAGCACCGAAAGATTAGTTGTAGTACTAGAGGCCGAGATGAAAGCTATTTGACTGTTGTTTTTTTTTTTGGTGTATTTTAGGCAACCAATACATAGTAGGGACCTTCAAATGTTCAGAAGAGGCCTTAAGCTGTGATGTAATTATGATATGATATGATTGTTTACTATATGACTCTCTGTTGAGCGCACGAATTTTAATATAGAAGAATTCAAAATGTCATTCTTAAAAACTTCCGTGTAGTAGTTACGGCATACCACCACCACATTGTTGGCTGCCTTGTCGGTCGGTACAAACACAACCCATTTTGCGAGTACTAGAAACTAGTTTCTTATTCTAGAAATAGGTGTATTATGTACTCCTAAATCATTTTCAAAATGTGATATTGGAATATCAACAACATGCATACATTTATTTAAATGAGAAACAAGATTTATTTATCAGATCTTTCCTGTTAACAAAAATGTGTACAATAAGATGAAAGAGCGTCTTTTATGACCTGACGACACTGTTTCTAATCTATTTTAGATAGAGGATGATATTTTGGTCCTTTTTTCAAATAAAATTTAACCTCTCGGTCTTGAACGATATTGAGGTCCACCGTAATAACATAGCCATAGGGATCATATCTAAAATTGCAAATTCACAGTCTCAAGTTAGAGGAGTATTATTCTCTACACTGACGTCTAATGTTACTGGCGTATAATTAAAAAAAAACTTCTGCTGGGTTTATTGTGTGTATACCAAAAATAATAGGTTGTTCTGTGTTATCAAAAAAGGGGTGTATAGAGTTTTGAATGGTGGAGTCATTAAATATACTCGATGAAATCAGTACCTCTGTTAATATATTTAATTGTAAGAAAATTCCGTTTATGATCTTCAGGATTATCGATACGAGGGAACAGCCTATGGTGGCAAAAAGCTGTAATTATACGCGAATATTAAAATAATAGGCTGAAGAACGATATTACGTCGCACTCTGAAAATATAATGTAATTTACTAACTGGCATTTGACCCAGTGTACATAATAATTGATGCCTACGCAGCGATGTTAAGGCAATTTCGATAAGATTTTGTCAGGGGCAGATAACCCCGTAAGGACCTCATTATGTATTCATATATATTCATTAATGGCGAAGATTCCGTAAGCTGCGTCTATCGATGAAACTGTATGAAATCAAATTACATATATGCCTGTTAACTAAAAACGGGTATCCGTATGATGTAATTTGTTTATCGAAACATGAATATTGTATGTTTGTGCTTTAATTATTATGTCAAACAGTTGCAATAGCTGTTTTTGTTGACGAGATTGTCGGCTTGTGGACCCCGCCTCCTTTTGCAGATTAACCAATCAGTAGACGATCGCCGTCAAATAGATGTTTGTAGTTTGCAGAATGGAAAGAACCTTGCAGCGAAAATTATTTTCACTTCTATGTGAAAATCTAACCAGAAAAGTAAGTGTGAGCCTCCAAATATGTATTATTTATGAAACATACGTTGCTTGTTTTGTTAATCATTCGCTTCAGAAATCAAAAAACTGTACACTTATAGATAAAAACGAGTTCAGTGTTGGCAAGCATGATAAATATACACGTGGTCATGGTGGTCAAAACGAAACTAGACTGCAACAGATATCTGAAATTTGAATAATTTATCGAATCCCGTCAATAAATGAACAGAATATCGAATGAAACAAGATCCCTCCATTATACCGAGAGCCCATTCTCAACATTTACCCTGAAATTTAAGTTTCTAATTTTCGTTTAGCCATTCGGGGAAAGGGGGGTGGGGAGGCGGCGTTCCACCTTTCACCTCTCTCCGGCACCCACATTGCTGGAGCCATGGGCATGACCCATACTTTCAAAGCATGGAGCTCTTAATTTGTAACACAGGGCACACAAACTTGCTCAAAAGGAAGCCTTGCAAGACGTCATAATTATTTGGACTACCTCCCCCCCTCTTTCCAACTTCTACTCCCACCATTTAATCAGTGTGAAGTCCATACTATATTATTTTCTGCTTAGTGCTGTTGGTATTAATCAACTTTGAATTTAAAAGGGCGGTAAAGTGTTAATTTTATGCAATGTTTTCTATTTACCCAGTGTTTATATTTTATTTCACTTGTTTTCGTGTTTTGACGTTTGACCTCTCAATACATGTATCTCGTGTTTTGTTCGATGTGTGTGCTACATGTTTCCCCTTATTTATTTCCATGTTTCCTGTCGTACAATTTATTTCTCATGCTTGTCAAAAAAGTTTTGCAATTCTATTGAATATTTATGGTTCATGTATGTGATAAAGAACTTCAATTCAAATTTAAATGTACTATAAATAATAATTTTTTGAAATCCGATGCAACTTAAGCTTTTAAGGAAGTTAAGAGGTGACAGCAACATGATTACATCTTTATGTCCATTAAAAATGACTACAGAAGGCTGAGTATCTGGGTAATTATTTGGAAATATCCTGGACAGTGCGTCTTTCTCTGGAAAAAGCCTGTGCACCTTGAATAAATTATCTTATTATCTGTGAACCAGTATTTTTTAAATCATTACCAAGTCAGAAATATATTTATAACCAATTGCAAGTTTATGTACTTAAATTGCTGGCTAAATAGAACAATTTTTAATACATAGTCAAAATAATATTATAATTTCTTGAAAGGCTTTGTTAATGATTAACTGGGACGCCTTCCTCATGTTCCTATGACCGTCATTATTAGGAAGGAATCGCAGCAAAAAATTGAAGAAGCTTTTCATGACACAATAATATTATACAAATTAATATGTAGTTTGCTCATCAAGACTGCCCACTTTGACATAATCTTTTTATATATATGTATGACTCTAAAGTGCGATGGTCACGCTAAAGTGCAATGATCTACGCTAAAGTGCGATCAAATGACACGCTAAAGTGCGATGGTGTAACAGGAATGGGATTCAGGCGATGGTTTTTGTTTTTTGCTGTGTTCATATTAGTTTTTCGTTTATTGTATTGTTTCTAAATCATGTCGTTGTTATTCTCTTTTGAATTGTTTTACACAAGTCATTTCGTGATCCTGTATAGCTTTCTATGCGACGTAAGCCAAGGCTCCACATTGAAGGTCATAACGTTATTAGGTGCATACATCAACGATATTTGGTCTTTGGTGGATATTTGTTTTGTTGACAATTACACCACATCTTCTTATCTGTTTTTTTGTTTATTGTTTATTTTGTATATTAATCAGTCCGTTATCTTTCTCGTTTGAATTGTTATACACTGGTCGTTTTGATACTCTTTGGTCGTTATAGAATACTATCTGCGGGGTTAGCCATACGGTATTCTATAGTTAATTACATTAATGACATTAGCATTGGATAGCGACTTGTCGCATTGGCAATCATATTATGATACTACACCTCTGGTCGTTATGTTACTGTCTTGTTGACGAGTATACATCTCTTTTACAGACATAATGAACCATATTTTAAAAAATTGTTTTTACAAAATAATTCAATTAGAAAGTTAAAAAGTAGCTTTTATTTCACGCAAGTAAAAAATTGAAAACAAAACGTTAAATAATTTCATGCGTCCGAAGCGCTTTTCTGGATTTACCTTCATCAGGAACGCTCAAAGCCAAACATTTGAAATCCGAGGATGTATAAGTACTGAAACAGTTGAAGAGCTATATGCTTTTCCAGTAAATGACATGGGACGAATTAAATACTTTGACACTTGGTGTATTTTGCTATTTTCTCTCTCTTTTATGATATACACCTTCCCCTTACTAATGTCAGTTTCAGTCTATGTTTATGAAAGTATTTTTTTTTCCAGTATACTGACAGAATCATGTTTGTCCCCGCCGACACAGCATTTGTTTGTACAAACGGCTTGTAGCGTCATAATGCGATTTAACGTTGCAAACGTCAATACTTTCGCGAACAAACGCACTTTAGCGTATCGCGGCATCAGTCTTTAGAGTGTTCCATTAAATGGCACAGACTATCGCACTTTAGCGTATCAAACCATCTCACTTTAGCGTGACCATCGCGTTTCAGCGTAACGATCTTACTTTAGAGTCCTACATATATATATATATAAGTAAAACAGTATTTAAATTGAATAGAACACTGCATGCATCATCGTTCTAAAAATAGAGTATTACATAAAATATCTGAACTGTATCCCTGTTGGCAGGAATTAAATCCATTACTCGAAGATATATCCCCGGTAAACAGAAGGGACCCATTTATAAAATTTTCTTTGGGAGAGCACTAGTCAGAGAGGCAGAAAAAAGCCCCATTTGTAATAAAGTCGTTTATTCTGTGACAACAGACCAGTTTGTGGAATCACTAAAGTACGCAAATCACATAATCAATTTATAAAAGGAAAAGGCCACAGCTCTGTAGGAACCCATAGATTAAGGGGGGTCTCATATTCTTATTGCTCTGAAAGTAAGTCTACCACCAACTGCTGAGAAAAAAAAATTACGACATGTACAAGTGTTATGGACCAACTAGCGTAACGGTTAAAATGAACCAGACACCATGAACACAAATTAAACAAAAATTGATAATCATAAATTAAATAACAGCTATCACACATATTTGAAAGAAATATATTTTTATTTGGAGCAATGCCTTGCTGATGAATCATTCAGATGATTACTCAAAACAGCTTTCACCAATCTTCATGAAACTTTGGTGAATTGTTTAAATTTATTGACATAAGTTTCCTTTCCATTTCTATTAGATATTTTTGATACCTGGTTTTGGAGTATAGGGACTTTATTCATATTAATGGGTCGAAATTATCGCGCTTTTTGGACAATGTCTCAAAAACGCTTAAACACATTTTCATGAAACTTGCTGAAATGTAACGTAAGCTCCCTTACGATTTTTAATATATTTTAAATTTTACTTATTCCAGTTATGGGATTTTATTCATAAGAATTATTCATGAATTGTGCCACTGTGCGCAAGTTTGTTTTTTTTTTAATTTTTATACCCCCACTTTTAGTCTTTCAAAAAATGGGGGTGGGTATACTGTTTTACTTCTGTCTGTACATCATCAAGCCAGTCAGTCCTTCCGTCCCATGAATATTTTTCGTTGCATCTTTCTCAGGAACATATTTTACTTATTCCAGTTATTGGATTTTATTCATAAGAATTATTCATGAATTGTGCCACTGTGCGCAAGTTTGGTTTTTTTTTATTTTTATACCCCACTTTTAGCAAATGTTTTAGTCTTTAAAAAAGTGGGGGTGGGTATACTGTTTTACTTCTGTCTGTACATCCTCAAGTCAGTCCGTCCGTCCGTCGCATGAATATTTTTCTTTGCATCTTTCTCAGGAACATTACAAGGATTTCTGAAATTTGGTTTCAGGCCATCAGGGTTTATATGTGTCAGCTATACCGTGTGATGCTTTTTCAGATTCATCACTCAACAACCTTTTACTTTAAGGGTATGGGGGTATATTAGTAGCTCACAGATTCACTTTTTTGTTTTAGATTTTTTTTTGGGGGGGCTGGCTTTTTTTTAGCACAGCTCTTTATTTAGCATAGGATGCAGCAATTCTAGAAATCCAAGAAAAATAGGCATTTATATATCTATGGAGGAAATCCTGATATCAAATTAGGGTTGTGTGGCAGACCTTTTTCTTTATTTTAAAAATTATATGAATCATTATACATATGTTTATGCTCCTTATTTTAAAAAAAGTACCTATATGTAATTAAATAATTACTTTCTCTTATTTTTTTTTAGCTCCCCTGTCAATTACAAGATACAGTATGCCATTCCAGCTTTGATGAAATAAAGTAATGGTTTGATTTGGAGAGCTTTATTATTATAGACAGGTAAATTGTTGTATCCTGATATCAGCTAACTATTGTACAATGAGACAACTCTCCCCAAGAGTCCAAATGACACAGACATTAACAACTATGGGTCTTTGAATGGCCTTCTACAATGAGTAAAGCCCATTCTGCATATTTGGCTATTAAAGGCCCCAAAATCACAAATGTAAAACATTTCAAAGGAGAAAATTAATGGTCTAATTTATGTAATCAAAAATGAATGAAAAAGAAATATGTAACACAGCAACAAACGACAACCACTGAATTCCAGGAACATACATTGTACATACAGAATGTGGATGGGTTAAACATGTTAGCGAGCCTGGCTTTTCTTCCTGTTTTATAATTTGTGCAAATAAATTTCTGTTCTTACATCATGTACATTGTAAGAATATTGTATGATGTAAACTCAGAAATTATTGCAATGTTTTTATGAGGCAACTTTGAATATCGCAATAAAAGGAACTGACATTCCGGAATATATACATATAACTGTACAAGTATGCAGATTTTTCTGAAATCGCAATTATAAATCTCACATTTTTGTCCATTCTTCAAAAATTGCAAAAATAAATGTACCCAACAATCATGATAATTTCTTAATTAAATCAATGTTAATGAAGTATCTGTACCAGCAATAAAATTTATTTACACAGACATGACAGATATTAATACAATAATATACTGAACTTGCTAGCAAAATTTTTTTAGCTGTGGATTACTGATATTGATATTGAAGTATTCCTGTCTTAAAAGGAGATACAGAACAAACTAAATTAACATAAATACATCAATTTAAATATTTATTACAGAATACATCTTATAGGCACATCTGGGTTTTTATCTCGCCTTGACGGAGTCAAAAAGCGAGACATTGGTATGCTGGCGACGGTGGCGTCAACAATGTATTACTGTGGATTCATTTTTATTCGTGGTATACCAATTTTCTTGGGTTTCGTGGGTCACAGCGAACCACGAATTTAAGAATTCAACGAAGAATAATCCCGAGAAATGTGTATGGAATCGGATGTTTATTTCCGGTTATGTTATGCAGTTCTAGTATAGTGTTGACTATCGATAAACATTGTAACATAACACGTGTTTTTATTAAAAGAAGATACAAGTATTTTGATTAAATCAATAATAAATATCAGTGATAATTTACTTTTTAAAATTGAATAAAACTGTTCATGGAAAATAACTGCAAGTTGTTAATTACCGTGTCATAGTGTGGTTTACTGGTGATTAAAAATCACTAGGATTAAGTACGTGGATATTGCCCGTAGGTAACATTGTTTATGACAGGAACATTTATTTTCACACCTTTTACTTATATGACTGTTTATTATATCGTGATTAGGGAAATGAGCTTTCAATCATAGAGTTTTTAATGCCTTATAAAATTCCGACAAGAATTTATAAATTGTAAAACAAACAAGTAATTAGTTGTCTCTGTCCATTATTGTAATAGAATTTTTCAATGAACACTTTAATCTAGAATGACCAAGCGAGGATTTTGACAATTCAAAACTTTTTCAATGAATTCCTTCTTTTTTGTTTGTTTTATTATTGATCAAACCAAGGAGGTTATATGATCTTTTAAATTAAAAAGAAATCCACGAATTACGTATCTGATTTTTTTTCTTTTTGTAATCAGCGATCCACGAATTTACGTTTACCACGAAACGTCTTTTTTTCTCTATCCACGAAAATTGATACCCACGAAAATAAATGAATCCACAGTAGTTTGTGATTAGGTCTAGTTCATGGTGGTAGGTCAATGATATTTGGTATGCAGTTGTATTAGCATTGGCACATCTCATTCCATGGAGATTGTTTAGCCATGTACCTTCAGTCATGGTTCATCGACTTTGAATATTTGCATAACTTACATGTTAAAGTATTGCTATTTTAATTTCAACATTTGCATTATCAAAATTACAAAAAGGCGAGACATATCTCTGTGATAACAGTTTATTTTTCATTTAACTAACTTTAAAGTTTTATAAAAGTACATGTAGTGCACCTTATTAAAATGTGTGTAGAAAATTAAATCCTTGTTCAAATGATGAATGAAGACATTATTGTTGTACGTTTGTTTTTTCTACATTGGCAGTAGAGGTATAGGGGGAGGGTTGAGATCTCAAAAAACATGTTTAACCCCGCCGCATTTTTTGCGCCTGTCCCAAGTCAGGAGCCTCTGGCCTTTGTTAGTCTTGTATCATTTTTAATTTTAGTTTCTTGTGTATAATTTGGAGTTTAGTATGACGTCCATTATCACTGAACTAGTATACATATTTGTTTAGGGGCCAGCTGAAGGACGCCTCCGGGTGCAGGAGTTTCTCGCTGCATTGAAGACCCATTGGTGGCCTTCAGCTGTTGTCTGCTCTATGGTCGGGTTGTTGTCTCTTTGACACATTCCTCATTTCCATTCTCAATTTCATTATTAAATAAGGACAAGGAAATTATTTTGTTAGCATTTTAACAGTAACTTCTTGAAGAAAAATGTTTATACTAACTTTTGATTACTTTTCACATGTTGAAAATTTCATTTAATATATTATATTTGCTTTTTCATATTTCAGGGATGATGACCTGCAGTAGAAAGTTCCTTATAACTCATCATGGCCATTACAGCAGATCTGATTAAAATTTGTTTAGAAAGCCACCAAATATGTCCATGAAAAGTAGAAAAAAGACAGCAATTCTATATAATGTACATATATGTACTATATAGAAGCAGAAGCATTGACTGTTTCAAGACCAAATGAATTGGAATTTAGTGTTTTGATGCTGAGAGACAAGAGGAAAATTGACTAGAAAATTTAGCTTCTTTTTCATCATCATGTATCACTGAAGTTGATGTTTACCATCTTAAAGAGCTTTTACCTCAGTTAAAATGAATTCTAAATACGGACAGTTTGGAGATTTGTGAATTTTCTTACAATTGGAGTTTCAAAAAAGGATTTCATTTAACAAAATTATATTTCATGGATGTAATTTGTCGTTTCTTTCATGAAATATTTGAAAAATCTGCAATACATTTGTATCTGACCAAGTGAGAGATCTACAAATAGACATATGATATTCAGTTGAACTGTAAAGAATGAGATATTCATTTATAAGACTTGTATGAGTGTTTTGTTATTTTTCTGGCAATTACGGGGAAAAAATAGTAATTGATTTAAACATTAATCCCACCTAGATATACATGAGATATACTATCATATACATGTAGGCATACAATTCACTTATGCACCACTAATGGAGTTACATGTTATTATAAAACTAAGAATATGACATATGATTGCCAATAAATTAACAACTCTTCATCAGAAAACAAATAGTCATATTATATATTAGCCACCAGCATGACCAGAGAACAAGAAGATTATATTTTATCATGATTTATATTTCAATTTTATTTCATTTCATAACATTTAACACAAAATAAAGGTATACAATAAGTTCAGAAGCATAAAAAAGTGTTTTAATTGCAGTTGTTGTTCATCTTAAAGTGACTTAGTCATATTGATGTTGGCCTTCAATACTGAGCAAGACCTCTGTAACAGCCACAGAATGTTTGAACAAAAATATTATCTATACTTATACATGTTATATATTTGTCTATACTTAGAAATCAGAATTTTTTTTCATTTCTTGTCTAAATTAAAATAGGTTATACAATTGTATACGTTTGGCAAAAAAAAATATAAATTTATTTAAATGATGGTATTATTTGTATCCAGGATTTTCTGAAACTGCAATAATTAATCTTGCATTTTTAATTGTCCTTACATTGTTCAATAATTGAAATTATCTTGGGAATAAATTTACTCAAAAAATTCTGAGTCTTTTTGACATGTTTGAAGGATATATAAACTTGGAAACTTGTGATGGAATATTTTCACAGTTACTGTTTTAGAGATTCTTATATCTAGCATGTTTAGCAAAAGATGTTGGGTATACATGTATGGCAATGAGACAGCATCCCCAAAATAGACAGAAATTGCTTTGTTCTCAGTTTGAAATTGCACACATATTTTTGTATTACAGCTAGAATTTGATATAAAAAAAGATGATCTGGTATAATTGCCAATGAAGTTTTGATTTACAATTAAGTAATTTTTTTACTCTTGTGACTGGTTCAGGTAAATATTAACCACTGATTGTACCCTTGTCAATGATATTTGTAGGCAGTAGTTTTATAAGCATTTACACATCATTTTAATTTCCATGCTGACTAGTTTGTCCTGTCCACTATGTCATGATTAATTCACCTGACACTTCCTGAAACTTTTGGATTGTGTATATATGTATTAATTGTGATTGAGTTAGTCATTTCTGTGTATTTTTATTATATATGGTACATAGAATTTCTTTTATTCTGACAGAAAAGAAATACCATTCAGTTGCCTCCAATCTCGGCAGGTGATGGGAAATAAGTTTTCTGATTTTGACATGTTTGAGATGAACCTTAAAATATTATGGCACTTGATAATGAAAAAACAGTTGATTGATTGTGCTGAATGTCATATAAGCACTTTTGGCTGTCCATTTGTATTGGTGAACACTGGTAGGCAGGGATTTAATATGAAATGAGCAGCAGAAAAAAATAGGTCACTATTTCCAACTTCATGGTATAAAATTAAATATAAACTATAAGGTTGAGAAATTGAGATGATATATATGACAAGGTTGTTGATTGAATCATAGGTACATGTACATGTATCTGAAACTAATTGGATGTGGGTTTTTTATACAGGTGCGATTAAAATTAGTCGTGTATATATATGCATCCGATATTTGTCGAACTGGTTATCGCTTTATGATATAGTGTAAGCATAAATAATGAGAGCTCAAGGTACATTTTTTTTAAGTATGGGGTACTCAATGCCGTAGCTTTTTTTTATAAAAAAAAGCAAGCCATACAAAATACTGGCCTGGTAACTGGTGAAAATTCATATTCATTCATTGGCAAAAAAATTACCCTACCCCACCAGAATAAAATTCAAAAAGACCTCCCAATCATGATTTACAAATTGATACCAGTCACACTTGAGATACAGGAGATATTCAACTAGTAAAATGTGAATATTTATATGCAGGTAGGAGTTAATATTTATGATTTAAACATTGTCAATGACAAAGAGCAAACCAAAAAATCATGAATTTTGGTATAAAGTTTCTGTATGAAAATGCAACTTTTTTCATTAAAATTTGAATGGTTCCCAATATGCAAGCACTAGAAGAGACTTTATAGTATACTATTAATTAAAAAATGAACTTGCATTTGCAAAAATGATAACTGCACTATGAACCCAGATGCGGATTCCGGATTTTGACCAAAAAAAAGGGGGGGGCTGCGTGTCCCAACACTGATCGAAGTTATGGACATATAAGAAGTGTATACATTAACCATAAATTGGTTGATACACAAGGGATCAGAGCCCACATGAATCCGTCTCTGCCATTTCAGCCATTTGCGATGATATACACAAGAGGCGGAATGCAAGAAGATGTAAATATTCTATTTTATGAAAGTCCAGCCTGTCACTATGAAAATTCCCTGAAAAAAAACCCAATACTGAATAGGAAGCTTTAATAAATTAAGCAAGCAATAAGAGAATATTTGTTTATTCGCTCCAACATGACGTTATTATTATATGAAACGCTTCACGGTGAGTACAAAAAATACACTGAGTTTTTCCGTCAGCCGATCCGACTACTCCAGGGTCATTCAAACGTTTTTCTCTCGCATTTCAAGGCGATAATGCTACTTCATGCTAAATTAATTGAAAAGGGCAGGCGCAAGAGCTATACCAACCCACTTGATTCTGGTATTGGTAGAAAGGCAACATTTCAAATTTTTCAAAAAGTGCTGTGCTTAGTTATATTGCGTTCGTGTTAAAGATATTTCACAACCAGAAGTGCTAAAAAGTCAATAAATCGAAAAAATTCTCCACGTTTTATTGTTTTTTATTTACAACACCTCTATTAAAAACTAGGCACAGCACTTTTCCAGTAAAATAAGTTATCCTGATTACAGGGAGCCAAAAACCAGGGCGATCGGATTTCATCTTGCACCTGCCCTTTTGACTTTTTTAGGAAATGTCTTACTTTCAGTTTGAAGTCACGTGACACTTGTGTATTTATACTTTTTCTATAAATAAAAGTTTGGAATGTGATTCAGAATAGACCCTTTTCCCTCTGTTTACGCTTTTGACGTGCATTTTAACCTTTAAGCAAAGAAAACTAACTTTGAGTTCAATATGATTTTTCCTGTGTATAAAAATGGGATATTTCTTGAAACGCCCTTAACGTCCCTGCGTACCTTTGTTTTTAAATATAGATAGGAGATCATCAAGTATTTAATTCATGCGATGCTAAATTCGTTGACTTCGATTTAGACCTATCATTACGTTGTATGTTATCAACAATATTCATGATATCAATAGAAGAGGTTTTAGATATGTTCTCTTGTCCCATTATATTGTCATTTAGTCAGGGGATATGCTGTCTGCAGTCGTTTAATCCAAGACAGTTCGATAAACTACGAGAATCTTCAAATTGTTTATGCGATTGCTCTTGTTGTTTATTGTTCGATTCGAGTGGTTGGAATCTGATAAATTTAATATTGTGATTGTGTTTTCCTAAATGTTGGTAAATATTCTTTTGAATTTCTTAGGTTTTCGGAATAGGTATAGTTTTTGGCATTAAAAACAATCCAAAAAATTGCAAACATAAAGATTTAAAATAAAGAAATCACATCTTTAAGGAATCAGTGTACATTTTGCTATCAATAGACACCGGAAATTGTTTTGAGCAAACCAGACGTCGCTTATTCTCTATCTTAATTCAATTAGGGAGGATAAAAGTAAGATATTTTTTAATTCTTTGAACGTTAATGCTCTTCAACTGCATACAATATTTGCCCTTTTTAATTTTTTGGATTCGATCGTCAGGGATGGGTCTTTTGTGTACGAAACGCGCGTCTTAAAAAAGTCAGTGCCAATGTTCATGATGTAACCTAATAATTCTCATTTTGCGAAATGTTTTAAACAAAACTTATATGTACAATTACTTACTAATTTATATCAAACCTATGGATTATTCTAATGTTTAAAAATTAAGAAAGTACAATTGTATTTCATTTCCCCTCTGTTCACTTGTACACGAATTCAAGCATACATAGTAAATATGCTTTTCATATCAGAAACTAGATAGTGTTTGGGTAAGGGTAAGAGTAAGGGTTAGAACTAGACGTTATATATTGTGTTTTGGTGTAAACTGCGTGTCCTGTTAAACTATATCTATTCTATCAAACAATATATTGGAATCAAAATTGATTGCAATGTTTATTGGAAGACCAATTTAATATTCTGTGCTTTTTTGTATCGTTATGAGTATCAATCCCTTTCAATAGTACATTTTGATGGAAATCATTGAAGGATTTAACAGAAATTATAGAAGTTTATTGTTGCATGATCTGTAAAATTATATTCATTTTTCTACTTTAAATAAAAATGGAAGTAAGCGTTACAGTATTTTCTGGATCTACACATTACACGTCAGTCGGCTACAGCTTTGAAATGTTAGACTGCTAAGTTAATAGATAAACGATAATAGCTTATAATAAAAAATAAAAAAAAATCATTTGGCCTTTAAATTCTAATTTTCCGAGTTAACTTATTAGTAAAGGTTATCTTATTAATGTTGTAATAAGATCTTTGAAAATTGTTTTGGCACTAACATCGATTTTTTCATCAACAAATTAAAACATAACTAAATATGTATTCTT